CCACGAAGAGGATCGTTAACTCACGAAGCACCAATGCTCGTCGCATTGCCATCCGTGTCCTAGGGTGCTCGCGTGCAGCAGCAACCCCCGCCCCACGGTCGTTGCTCTGCAGGGCTAGCCCTCTTCCACGCTCGCACGCATTTCTCACCGCAGTGCTCCAGCTCCCCATAGGCCTGCAGGGCCCTCAGAACCGTATCATGGCCCAACGGTTTGTCAGGCCACCCTCGACCCTCGCACCCCTTCTCTGCGCTAGGCTCACACGCGGCGGCGCCACATATCCCACCCGTTCAAGGGCCGCGCAGAATCCCCCTAGTTCTCAGAGAGCACCGCGCGAACTCAGGCACGCACGCCACTGGCAGAGAATCTCTCCCATGGCTGTCCCACCTGTACGCGCGTCAGGCCTGCAGAGCGCGTCCCTCACTTGTATGAGTGATCGCGATCGATACACATCAGGGCCCACACTCACTGGCAGCATACGTCAAATAATCCCGTTGAGTATTCCAATTGTCAACCCGTTGCATTCTCGATCCCAGAGGGTGTCCAGACCGCAGGCCCTAGCAGCGTCATTGATTACCCTCAAAAAGCGGCGTATGGGTCCACCGGAACTGCCAGGCGCACGCTTGCACTCGAGCTTCTAGCCCCAGGTCTAATCTGTGCCCCTAGGGTCGTCTGACACCCGTCCAATTGCCCACGGGCATCCTAGGCTCAAACTCGAGCTTGCACTCGGTCGCCTGACCCTATTCTGGAGACACTTGACGGGTGCTTACCCGGTGCTTGTGCATACCCATCGCAGCCGCATCGCGTGAGCAGCGATCATAGCTGTCCTGATGCCCAGATGACGACGCATGACACTCGGGAATCACACGAGACACCCGCGAGACACACATGCGCAACGCAAAACAAGATACTGAATTGCATGCAGTTCCTACTGAGTGTACAGTGTCTATCTACTGCACGTAATTTGGGCAGGTCCGACCTGCCCCCAAGCCCGGGAGAAATCTCCCAAGGTTCGTAGAGAGCGGTAATATACACGGGTTTACTTATGTATGTGTGAAGTCCGTGATGTGCATGATACAAACTAACGCGTACGTACGAGCACGGGGCAGCGCGGTGCCGGACCAGCGCCGCCTTTTGGATGCGAACGGAGCTATCGTTAAAGTCGTGACGGGTCATGAAGAAAGGAAGGGGAAGGGGGTTTCGGCGGGACAAGCCCGACGATGCTCGAGCAAGACAAGTGATTCGACGTTTATGCGAAAACATCTGTCGGTAGCATCCGTGTTGAGCGGATCTGCAATGTAGAGTCGATGGGAAACAATTATACTGTATAACAATGGGGTTCTTGGTACTGATTTTATGTGTGTTGCTCGTACGTATGCGCAGGGTCGATGTGAGATGTCAGTCGTGCAGGTCGATGCGAAGATGGAGTAGTAATGCTTGGTGAGGCGAGTAAGAGTAAGGAGCAAAGCACATGTACGCGAAGTCGGGGGCAAAGCGAGTCTTCTACAGCGTAGATAGGGTCGGAGAAATCCATAGTAACACATGCGATGAATTTAAAGGAGAGTTATCTTGTCTCGCTTCGGTCCCGATTGGCGTGGCCGAGAGGAAGCCACTTGAGCCAACCGGCTCCTTTGTGTTTGGCCTCCTCGTCGACAAGATCTTCACCCTCGCCGTCGGGCATGCCGAGGCCCTCGATGTCGGCGAAGGAGATGTAGCCGTCCATCGCCTTGCACTGCGCAGCGGCAATGCGCGCATTGAAGGGGGGTGTGGGTGGCGGCGTGAGCGGTGCGTTCGCCGAAATAGGCGAACGCAACCCTTGGCTCGCCAGTGACGGCGAGCGATGATGATGGTTCCCGGGAGCAGGAGCAGGAGTCGTGCTCGATCTTGACCTGGTGGAATAAGTCAAAGAGCCTGGCGAAGTTGACTATATGCGCGCCAGTTAGACGTGGAACTGCGCAATCCCATATGAAGTAGCTCACCTCAGCCACAGTAAAGAACCAGTCGCCCTCTTCACTTATATTCCTGCTGCTCGCCATGGAATTAGAACTGCCGGTGTGGTATCCTCGCTCTCTACTCCCGCGCTCCTCATGGATCTTCGCACCCCGCAACACGCCCTCGAGTCTACTGCGCAGCACAGCCTCATGAGGTGTTAATGTTGCTGGCTGGCACGCGCATGGATCAGCCGGGTCCGCAGGCGATCTCGATACAGAATGTGCGTGTGATGCGTGAGGCGACTGAGAAAGCGAGGACGGCGAGACACTCGACGCTGACTGGGGTGACCTATGGAGCTGGGTTCGCGCAGACGACGTAGATGTCTGGTCTTCGAAGTCGTTAGGAAAAGCGTTGTCAAGGCGAGGGGAACGCATTGAGCTGCGACGGCGAGCTTCACGATCGTCGCTGTGGTGACGGGGGTGGAGGGGTCGGCTGAAGTAACCTTGGGTATTGCCGGAAGACGAGGACGAGGTCGAGGGAGTTCGCAAGAGTGCATGCTTACGCGCGTCCTCATGGAGGTCGTCGTCGTCGTCGCTATAACATGCGCCCGTGTCACAGTAAGTGAAAGCGTCCAGAGAGTTCTCGGGGTTGGATGATGTCGTATGTCGACGTGAGCGACGCCCTGACGGTGACAATGGGACGAAGCCATGTGCTGGTTGGGTCGCGCCAAAGAGCGATGGGCTGGGCAGGGCTTGCAGGGCAAGGATCCTGTCCTGCTCTTCCGCACGACGGAGCGTGTCGCGGAGGAGCCTCTCTGAGCAGGACGGCGGTCGGGGCATAGGTGGTCTTGTGATCGGAAGGTGTGTCGCAACGGTAAGAGGTGACGACGGTCTCGAGCGAGACCGAGATGCTCGCGACGTCATATTTGTACTGTTGCTCCGCGTCGATAAGATCGGCGAGGGGGTGTGGATCTGCATCGACATGGCCAAAGTGGGCGTTCCCGGAGGGGGTATCAGTGCTTTGGCAATGTATGAAGAAGGTGTAGATCGGCGCGACGGCGTCGAGCTGTGCAAGGTGAGGACGTGAGTAAACGGGAACACAAACGCGAGGGGGAAGAAAGAGGGGGGATTGATATATGGTCGAGGGCGCTGCAGAGGTAATAAACGGGCTCTACACATGCGGGGCAATTAAAGCGTGGCCTCGAAGCCTCCGTGTGCAATCTGGAATCTGGATCATGCCTAGGGCGCTCACGCGCCTCGGACCAGAGATGGGGCAGGGCACGGCACCAATCTAGGATAAAGTTCGCAGCAGGGAAGAAGAGATCGAATGCAAAGAAGGGGCACAACGAAAACAATGGCTGAATGGACGTACTGTGTGAGCTGTGACCGCGTGGAAAACGGCGGTGGGGATGGCGGGGCCCGGACAGCGAGATATGGCGACCCTGGCTTGGCTTGCGGGGTAGGCGAGCGGGTTTCTGAACGACTATGCTGACGCGGAGAGTGGGGAGGTGTGGAGGGAGGCGAAAGGGAAGGTACGGGGAGAGAGTCCAGCGGGGAGCTCGGTACTTGAAGGTGCAGGCCCTGTAGCAAACGCCTATTCGTGCTCGTTTCGGCCGCAGCGGACTCGTGGTGACGCTGATGGGTCTGGAAGGGTGCGTGGAGGCTAAAATTCGATGTGACACCGGGATATGCGAGCGCTACGCAGGATGGGGAAGATGTGGGCGATCCCGAGTCGCTTGGTGTGTTACTTCGGACTTTAGGTCGGGATGAATGGCTCACGCGATCTGTCTGGATGGGAGAGAGACCGGATTTTGAGACATTTCGACTGCGTGGGGAGCTCCGGCATGGCACAAGCGTGGTACTTCCGTCAGGAGAGGATGGACCACCGTTCGTGCGACTTGGGTATTTCGTATGCGGGTAGACAACATTATCACGGCTTGTATGCGGCACGGATTGTTGTCTGGGGTCTGTTGGGGCGACAAACGACGAAGATGCTGGAGAGTAGGGCCCGGCAGGGGACGAAGAATCCCTGGTCATGACGGCGTTTCTCCCGTGATTCGCTGAGTTAGAATACGGGGTGCGTGCAGAGAACACGAGGCCTGCTAAAATACTTAAGCGTGTATGCCACGCAAGAGGCGTCGATAATCGCGCAGCGAAACGTCGACGTCGACGTCGTCGGTGATAGCGCACGCGTCGTCGAGCAGGCAGGAGGTGGTCGGGGACGGAGACGGGCGTATTTCTGTGCTCTCCACTACCGGCGCTTCCTGCTCAGCATGGTTCCCGCTTTGGACAGAATTTCAATCAACGCTGCGGTGGTTTGACAATCAATATTCAATGTTCCAGACCCCGCGAGCGAGCTAACCAATTGTGACCTGCGTGACAGCCATCGCCTTGAAAGTGGTAACCAATCGGAACGCATGAAGCCTTGAAGCGCTGTGTCAAAAGTGTAACGAGAAAGCGTGACCGGCAATTTCCGGGAATTATCTGCAATATTTCCGCGGCGTATTTGTGCACCGACTCCACACTGACGTTAGAGCCAATACGCCTACTGTTTTCCGCCACAGCCCACAGAAACGATGCTCCTCGAATGCCTAGTCAAGTTCCGGGCACTGTTATGTGGCAGCAGATAGCGGTAGACGGTTACTGTAGCCTCCGTCTAAGTACGAACCCCATTTCTATGAGCGGTGTTGACGGTTTGTTGTTGCGGCATCCGGGCTTGAGTGCCATTACTGCCCTGTCCGCGGTCTAGACCCGGCGCCGAAAGATTGATAACATCGGGCGACGATTCAGGCCATTGCCGTTTGCCCTCCGTTCCTGGCGGGCTCGTCCGTCACCCTTGTTCCGTCGCCGGTGCCCCCCGTAACTAAGTCCATATTGAACACAACCCTGCTATCGATATCTCAACACAGCACTGAACGACCGGAAAATAAGACATGTCGTTGGAATACAATGTCGCATTTCCCTAATTTTTCCAGCGTACTCTACCTTGTGTACGTTCGCCTGACGCTTATCTGCCTACCGCCTGCGAGGACTGACTTTTACTCCACTGCAGCACACGGACGCGCGCAGCTGTTGCTACGCCCACGTATTTCACCAGGTCTGGATCATAAGGACATACGGAAGAACACTAAGCCTGTGGCAACAGCACGAGATCCCTGGTTGCGTCGCACCCGTCTGCGTACGTAAATGTGGCTTACGACGAGCGTACCTGGAAGCGCAGGTTCGTGGGCGACTTGTTGGCTTTCGTGCACTCTTGATGACGAGATTCCGGTCACAGATATCGGGTCCGACGCCAGCGAACTCTCACGAGGCGTCGGTAATGTTACGTTGCCGTAACGTTTACTTTAGCTCATGGTCGGGCATGCAGCCAGTACGTGCCCATGCCAGCGGCCAGCTGGTGCTCGTGTTGGTTCGTTGTTGCTGGGGAAGATCACCTCCGATGCGCTGTGGCAGTTCATGACGGCATTCCGTGGTTGGGAAACTCCTCACTTCATCACCCACGGAGCTTACACCTCTGTCCAGTCGCACTCATCACCTGAGGGTCAGTTGCTGCCTCATTTCGCAAGCCAGGCCCTTTCTGACCAGTAAAAGTAAAAGCGCTGTCGTGAGGAATACCGTAAGTTTTTATTACACTCATTACGGCCGCCTTGTGTCCCAGAAAATCCGCTCAGGCCCGGAGCTTCGCAACACAATATTTGTGCACTCTACCTCCTATGTTTGTCTCTATATCCGCCATAACTTGCGCCACAAGGCATCGGAGCTTATGGGGCAACAGCGCTCTTCGCTGTTCTCTTCTCTACAACCGCGATCCCTGAATCTTCGCTGAAGCGCGCCTCCCTCTCGCCCGCTCGTCCTTCGTGATCGGATTTCCTGTGTACCCAGCTCAGTCGCCAACACATCAGTCTTCTGTTGGCGTCCCTTGCCTTCTCACCACGCGCAGACGCAAGTATGGTTGGCCATGACGCAGCGCACGCCTTCGCTGACCCGGTGACAGACCACGTTCTTGTCCTCGGATCCGGCTCCTCACCGCCGTGTATGCGTCAATTGGGAGACTCGGGTAAGCTGGCTTCCCTTCGCTGTTCTCGCTGTTCGGTGGTAACAACTTGTTCGGACCCTACCGGCCGGGAGCGGTCATCTGTGAGCGCGATTTTGGCTTGAGAGAAGCGATTGCTCAAGCTAGTGCGAAGGTTTTCGTCTCTTTATCTGCGCCGCTCCAGCGTCGTTTTCGCTGTTTGGCTGCGCCTGGGCGCGCGCCCTTTGCTATTGGCTGGGAGCGCGCGAACCCCCAAGGCATAATAGCCGCATCAACTTCCCCGTCCCCGTCCCCGACTCTTGACGATTGATATACTGTTCAGGCTGCGTCAATTTTGCTCTCCAAATCGATCACCACCAGCAGCCTTTAAAGGCTGGCTGTTGATGTTTATGAATAGCTGGGAGGTTATGGCGGCTCGCCGTGACCCGCGTCATTGCAAAGTGAACGTGAGTCTGAAACAGATCTTCGCGTGGTACGAGTATACAGATACCACTAACATTCGACCTCCTCTTTCCAGACTAATGCAGCATCTTTGCTGGCCTACACGCCAAGGAATTCATTGACCCAAGGGCGCCTTGAAGCCGGCTGGCGCACGAGCAGAAGGATCACCACATGCTCTCACGGCGCACACCGTTAGCCTTCGGTCTGACCTCTCTGCCGCCCTTAAAGCAGCCGGCTCCTACGGAGCGACGGAACTATCGGCCATGCACTTGCTCGTGCGGCGCACCCTGGTCCACCTCCGTGGGAGAACACGGACATGCCAGGAAGCAGTCTCCTCTTGATCGAGGCGTGCGATGATGCAATGCCAGGCCTTTGGACGGTTCTAGCGCCGCTAGTCTGGGGGATGTTCGCTTAGTATTCGCTTGGGGTAAGCCTTCGATGTCTCTTTGGATCGCTACGCTGTGCTGATGTACTGATGCGTTGTGTGCCACTTTTCGCAGGGCGAAAATCGCTGGAATCTTTCAAAGTCGTCCGGCACAGCAGGTCGGGCTTCGCGAAGGTCGGGGTTACAGCGGTTATTTCAATATCACAACACAGTATTTCTGACGTGTGTCCTCGCCCTCACCGAGCTGTCTGGCGTCAGGCCCTGGCAGTCCGAGACGAGTCGTATGACCTGTAGAAGCGCTCGTCATCAGGCCCTAGGCCTTCAGTTGTATGCGTCATACAATCATCGAGCTGCATATATGCGTCTCGACGTGCTGCAATTCGGATATGACCCCTGCGTCGCCTCGTCATCCCAGCCTAGTGCAAATTCGGTGAGTGGTTCACGCCCCACATGGTGCCCGCGCTTATAATCTCGCTGCGCTGCAGGCTTGCATCCCACCCTTAGGCCTTCATTCGTTTTGTTCTCTATCTGAGTGTAGAACTTTCGACTTATGCCTACATATAGTCTTCTCTGGTCACACTCCGCGGTGAGAGCCATCAGGCGTTGCGTAGAATGCTCAGGAACGGCGATGGCTCCACCGATAGTACGCCTCGTGCCTCTGCAGGGCTGATTCTCACAGTCGATAGACGACCTTTGGTGAGTCCAAATAGTATCTATAGGACGATGCCCGCATCAACATGTGCACTACGCAAATAAGCACGTTTCTCAAAGCCCGGGACTCTCGTGCACGAGCATCCTCGATTGTCTCAGAAGCTTTGTTTGTTTGGAGTGTTCCAATATTTTCCGACGGGTCCGCATCATCGAGCGCGGCGGTGAGGTAAGTACACGTATGTTTCATGTGTTCATTGCTATCGACCAACGACCATTCACTTTCGTCAGCATGTGCACCACGCTCCGTGGGAACCCGGCCCTCCGGCATCACGCTACGTCGGCCAATGCCGCAACGTCTCAGCTTGCCGTCGCCGTCCCGGATCACGTTCCTGGCTCCCGCGCCTTTAGGTTTATGGGAACTGCCGGATGCCAAACGTTCTTTGACGGGTGGACACTATCCGTGTAAGTATTGCGCCCAAGAAACCGGTGTTGACGAGAAGATGGGATGCCTCACGGCCGCGCGGGTCGCCGTGTTACATGGCGCTGTCGGATGCTGTGGACGGCATATTCGCATTTCGGCACCCACCTGCGCTCGCAGCCCTCCGTCGGCAGCTGTATGGCGCGGCAGCAAACGTAAGTTGTCCGTAACGCCTCTGCCACTCTTCTCTGCGCCAGACGGCCAATGATTCCCCCTATCTCATTCGTAGCCGCAGCGACGCTCCTTGTAACAGAAGCGCAAGTCGGTAGTCAAGAAAACGACGGTCGAACTCTCGCAAGCCTTCGCTCCATCCCCTAGGCGCCACTTCCGCTCTACTCGGAAATTTGCTGTCATTGAGTGGGATTACGTCCTGCTGTCCAGCCCCTGCCCTTGACTCGTTTCGTGGGCTGTGCATATCACGGCCGGCATCGATACG